GGTAACCTGCTGCAGTGCCCGCTCTGTGGGCTCTGGGGCCGGGGCCACAGTCTTGGTGTGGGCTGCACACCCTGGTCTCCGTGCGCATCTCTGCTTGCTACGGGAGCCTTACAGATGGTGCCTTGCTGGCTGCCAGCCTGGCCTCCGCCTCCCCTGGTACTGTCCCCCAGCCACCACTGTCAGCATCCTGTGTGACTCGGAGCTTCTGTCCCCTCCTTCACACATGGGGCAGTTGAGCAGATGCTAAGCAGTGGAAAGGATGCGAATGGGGAGCTAGCGTCTCCCCTTCCCACTGTTTGATAAAATGCCAGAGAGCAGCAAGGTTGTGAACAGCAGATGGAGCGAGAAGGCGGCACCTGTTGTGAAATGCCCGTCATCTTGATGGCCACCCTGTGGGCTGAGGCCAGCGCCCTGCCCGTGTCTCTTCCTGCCACAGGCTGCTCTGCGCGGCTCCTGGGTGTGCACGCCGGGGGCAGCTGGAGCTGACTGGAGCCCTTGATTGGCAGGTGCTGCCTGGAGGTGTGGGGCGTGGTCTCCGTGCTGATCGGCACCTTCATCTTCGGGCAGAGCACGCTGGCCGCTGTCCTGGAGCTGTCCTGAGGGTGTGGCACAGGGCCACCCGCGCCTGGCATGACAGCCGGGTGATTTATGTCGATCATAAAGATGCCGAAGCCATCCATGCCTCCTGGTCCCCAGCCTCTCATTGTGGTCCTGCTCACTCTTGGGGTTTCTGTAAGGGTGAGCAGATGCCACCCCATGGGTTCAAGTTCAAGGCCCAGTCAGGCCTTGCTCCCTCCCCCTCCCATAGCTTCCACTTGGTTGTTGACCCCTCTGTGCCTGTGTCATGACTGTCCATGCACTTGATCATGTCTCAGCTGCTTCCCTGGGCTGGGCCACAATCCCTGTATGCTTAGGCCGAGCACAGGCTCAGGGCTTAGAGCTTGGGTTTTTCTTCCTGGGGGACTTAGCCCCTCGTCAGGAAGCTCGCCTTGTGGTGCCAGGATTGGAGATGGGGGAAGAGCGCCCAGGAAGTATCCCATGGCATCTGCTGAGGTTGGCAATGGGCTTGAACCAGGCCTCTGGCCCAGGCCCAGGAAATGCCTACGTGCTGCCCAGACTGGGAGATGTCCAAGCAGAGATGTGCCCATGGCTGGCACAGGCGGGCTGCTGCCTGTGCCCGTGCCCTGTGCGGGTGGGGTCCCCAAGGAACACCTCCTTTGCACGTAACAGGGTATAGAAGCCTGGAAGCCAGGTGGACAGCTGGCTCCATGGAGCTTACCTGTCTTACTTGGTTCTGGGACGGGAGTCTCACCTGCTACAGAGGGCTTGGGGGCCGAAGATGCACCCCAGGGCCTGGGTGAGAGGGGGCGCAGAGAGGGGAGGATGGACTTGGCTGCTCCTGGGCCTGTGAGAGCCCAGCACTGACCCTGCGTGGGGCCAAGCCAGGCGGCTCCTCTGTGGCCAGCGCCAGGAGGAGCAGGGCTACCCCTGTGGGATAGGATGGGGACAGACCCTGCTCCTGTCACCCTGTGTCCCACAGGGCCTGCTGGCTGTGGTCGACAGTGAGAGGTCATTGTTGCCAGCCTGTGGCCACATGTGCATTAAGAACATGTGCTGTAGTTTCTGTACTGCAGACCTGTCTCCTGTTAGGGCTACAACTTGGTGGTTCTGCCCTCTTCCCAGAGCTGTCTGGCTGACCCACGGCTGTGCTGGCGTATTTCTGTCACTGTACTGTGTCTCCCCACTCACGCCCCAGTGGTCTCCGTGCACCGCCTGGTGGGACCCTACCTGCAACACAGCACAGAGTGGGGTCCCTGCCTTCCTGCCCCATTGCTTCCCTGGCACATGCCCATTTCACAGCTGAGACCCCCGAGGCTTCTGGTGTGAAGAGCTGGGATCAGAGCTGCTTGGCGTCAGTCCTGTCATGCACTCCAGGGCCCGCAAGGGGCTGTGGCCGCAGGGTTGCCCCTGACCCTGTGTGGGGTATGTGGGGCCCTGCTCCACCTCTTCACCCACTGACCCTGTGACCTGGCACACTGTTCCCCTGGTGAGGGTAGGATGGCTTTCACCAGGTGTTGGTCACCTGGGCACAAGCCAGGAGGGTGGCTGTCACTCAGCTGTTTGTCTTGCCCTGCCTGCTTCCAGTGCCGGGCACTGAGGCGGGGCTGGCGCAGACCCGTGTGCAGGGGCCTGCAGTAACCACGTGTTACTACATGCAAGCATGTAGAACTGCACGGTCGGCCCACGCACGCAGCCAGGCAAGCCCTGACTTTGGAGTCTGAGACAGCCAAGGATGTGAGTCCGGGTCCAGGAAATGCGTGAGGCTTTGCAGGGATGCTTCCCCACCAGCCAAGCGGAGGCTTCCCACGACCCTCGTGGCTCACCCTGAGGACCGAGCCACAGTGGGCACCTCAGAAGATTGGGTGAAGTTTGCCAGGGGTTCATGGAGCCTCGGTAGCCAAGGAGAAAGGGGAAATAGGGTCTAACGGCCTCACCGGAGAGGATCAAAGCTGCGTGAGCAAAGTGGCCTGGGGCCGAGGGCGGGGCATCTCCGGTGACTGACATTCCAGCTCAGGCCTGTGACCTGAGTGGTGAGGATCTAGCCTCACGTAGGACAGGGTGTCACCTTTGACTTGAGATGACAGAGTGATCCAGGGACTACCCACCAGGTGCAGGCTGGGGGACCTGGTGTCCTGCAGGACCTCCAGGCCGATTCTGCAGGTAGCCACCTGCTGCCCAGCCCCCACCCCCAGCTGAATGGCCCTGGTAAGGCCCAGCTGCCAGTGCCTGGTGCAGGTCCTCCTGTGTCCGCATGCTTCTTGCTGCTCTTCCTCACAGCCTCTCAGTGCCCTCCACAGGGAAGCTAAGGACAGCTGCCCCTGCCCGGGCACTGCGAGGCCCCGGGCACTGCGAGGCCCCGGGCACGTGGCCTGGCTCGCTGTCCTGACTGTGCTGGAGCATCACAACCTGTGGGACACCACTTGTGCCATGGCCTAGCAAGTGCCTCCTGATCTGAGCAGAGAGCGGCAGGTGCCTGAGAAAGCACCTGCCCACAGGCAATGGCTGAGGAAGGCCCAGCCCTGGGCGTTGCCCTGCAGGCACGGTCTGGATGCGGGGCCAAGTGGAACTGAAGCAGCCAACCCATGCTGGTGAGTGGATAGGGACTTCTTAATGTAGCATTTGGCTGGGGAGCACCTCGGGGTGCTGCACTGTGGTGCCTCACTCACTCTCCCATCACCTCTGGCCCTGGCTGTCCCTGCCCTGACTCCAGGATCCGCCTGTGTGCACGCTTCATGTAAGTGGAGTAGCTGCGTGGGACGTGTGCTTGTGTGTCTCATTGGGCGGTGTTTTCCCAGTGCTGCCTGCTGCTGGAGTGCGTGCCCGGGCTGTGTCCACCTCCGCCTCTGTCCTGGGGTTGGCCCACACCCTGGAGCGGGGAGAGGAGGGGAGTGCAGGGCAAGCGGATCAGTACACAGCTGAGCAGGACCCAAGCCACCCTGAATGAACTCACACACAGTCACTCCCCTACATCAGTGGGGGCCTGGGCAGTTTGCCAGCTGGCTCTGGGTCTTGCCTGAACCAGTGGTTTGCTGTGGAGTCCATCACCTGTCCAGGGCAGCAAGGTGGGGTGGGGGAGCGGAGCAGAAGAGGACCACATACCGAGGTGTGACTGAAGGCACTCTGTTGCCTCCTGGGCAGGAAGTGAACCCAAAGGCACCCGCTCCAACTTGAGCCCTGAGGGCACGCGGGCAGAGTGTGGGCCAGCGGCAGGAGACGAGGGGAGGCATGGCACACTGCGCTCAGTGACGGGGTTCCTCAGCACCGTGGTGGGGACCCTGCTGGTGCTGCCAGCAGTGCTCGGCCCCTGCTCTCACCAGGGGCCACTGCCTGCTTTCAGAGGGGAAAGTGGAGGCTGTCACCACCTCACTCCACCACTCCTATCCTGTGCTTGTGGCCATGCCCGGGTGGCAGCCCAGGATCAGGAGCTCCGGGCAGCAGTGCAGGAGCCCTAGGGATTCTGAGGGGCTGGCGCAGAGAAGAGGCCCCTGTGGCTGGCACGTCCAGGCCCACACGGGCAGGGGAGCATGTGTCTTGGCGCCCTCGTGGGCCTGACCCACGCTGCTCTGGGCCGGCACTGTGGGCTTCCTGTGCAGGGCTACTCCTGTTAGTGTGGGGGAGACGAGGGCCCCATGCTCTCCTCCCTGCCCACGCTCCGCCATGTGCAGCCTGTGTGGGAGTCTGTGCTGCTGACCAGGCCTGGGCCTGAAGGCACAGTGGTCCCGCAGACCCCAGCCCCTTCAGCACAGGGTGTTGTGTTCCTGCCCTGTTGCAGTGGCCTGGGCGTGGCTTGCACACACACTGTGCCTTCACTGGCTGAGGGCAGCAGTGCCAAGTGTCAGGGTCGGGGGAAGCTGGCGGGCCATGCTCTGTCCATGCAATGAGCCTCACCCTCCGTGCCCACCCTCACACCTGTGCGTCACAGACCCCGAGGGTGCTCCGGGGGTCTCCGCCCTGTGTGCCCCGCCCAAGCCTGGTCATTGACAACACCACCTCTGCATGGGGGTGCTGCCCACCCACAGCTCAAGGGCAGGAACACAGCTGCCCTTTGCCACCAACTAACGCCCACGCGTGGCTCTTCCAAAGAAAGAACAGACAGTTTGCGGCCGTTCCCAAGCAGTGTTTATTGGGTGCCTGGGTGCACGGTGGTGGCCTGCTGCGTGGCACTGGCTATGTGAGCTCTAAGGCCTGAGCCCAGGGTGGGCACTACGGGGTCACAGCTCCTACCAGGAAGGAGGAAGTGGCGGTGGGGCAGAGGCAGCTGCACCCCTCCCAGGGAGCCAAGGGGAAGGCCACAGTGGCTGCCCACGGCCCTACCCCCCAGGCTGTCGGGGAGCAGCGGGGCGCCGGGCCCTCTTAGGAGAGCAGGGAGAGGGCGTTCTGGTGTGTTTGTGGAACAGGGGGCTGGGCCACGGGCTCCTCAGCTGCAGGTCACGGGAGGGTCAGTCCCGGGCCACGCTACACCAGGCAGCTGGAAAGGGCAGCAGAGAGATGTGGCAGAGAGTGGGCACAGGGGAACGGCTGGGCCCCGCTGTCCCAGCTGACCACCCGTGGCCAGCATCTGCTGCTCCACCTGCTGCCTAGCAGGAGAGTCCATCCCACAGGGCCATGTCCCCTTCATCTGGTGCCAGCTCTGCACAGACTGCAAGGGGTAGGTGCGGGGAGCCACTCTCCCCAGCATGCCTGGTACCCTGGTTGTGGGACTCCCACCCATGGCCTCCATGCCACCCCACAGGACAGGGAGGGGAGATTGTGGCCCCTCCTCGGGAGTGGGCAATGCCCTGAGAGCTGCCCCAAGGCAGGGCTTGGTACCTGGCACAGCGATCCTGGAGAGGGCCTCAGGCTGGCTCAGCGTGTCTACCTTAACATGCCGGAACGCCTTACACTCGGGGCTCTGCTGGTGCCTGTAACCCGGGTGGGGGGGGGGGTGAGGGCACCGTGGGAAGGAGGGTGCAGGGCCAGGCCACCGTGCTAAGCCTGTGAGGAGAGGTGCAGCCCCAAGCTCACTGGTGGGAAGATGGGGGGCAGGGGCACAGAGCCAGCATCCTCCCATAGCCACAAAAGATGGGGATTGTCCAGGGCCATACGGACTCCCGTCCCTGGGGTCTCTCGCCTGCCTTGGGCAGTGACGCTGAGGCCACCGGAGGTTCATTTCCTCTGCCCAGGGACTCGGGGAGCCTCGGGGGGATGGTGCTCTCGGGGGGCTGTCCGGGACCTCCATCCTTACCTCTTCCACTCCTCCTCCGTCTCCCAGAACTCGTAGATGACAAAGGTGACACCATCCGACAGCCTCACGGCGGCAATGCTGAGCGACAGTGGCAAGAGGGGGTGATTAACGGGGCCTCACTTCCCCCTCACACCTGCTCTAGGGCAACCCAAGAGTCTGTGGGGGTCAAGGGCAGGCCTGGTCCAGGGGGACGCCTGCTGCACTCACCCTCAGACCCAGGTCTCTGCTTCTCTGCCCAGAGCAATGCTGGGGCGGCTGGGCCGGGCCACCCAGAGTCGCCTGAGAGCCAGAGCCTCTGCACGGAGGGCAGACCCTCCCAGTGGTGGGCAGGGCCGGAGGCACCCAGTAGGGCAGCTCTGTCCGGCCTGCCCCAGGGCAGGGACAGAAGTGGGGCCAGCTCCAGCCCAGGTCCTCTGCCAGGGGCTCCAGCCTGGAGCTGGTCTCTCATCTGTCCCCGGTCCATCGTGCTCTGACTGGTCTGACCGTGCCCGCTCTCTATCTGCTCCCTCCCTCCGTCTCTCCTGTGTTCACACTGTCCTCTCACCTGTCACCGCTCTCACCTCTAACGGGCCTCTGTCCCCCCTCTTCTGTCACTATTCCCTCGTTCTCCCTCAGATTGCTAACTCCCTGGTTGGTCTCTCATTCTCCCTCACGGGTCACAGTTGTTTATTTCCAAGATTCTGTTTTCCCTTTCTCTATTCTTTTGAGATTTTATTTACTCTTATTGGAAAGTCAGATTCATAGAGATAAGAAGAGACAGAACTATCCTCCATCCACTGGTTTGTTCAAGTGGCCGCGGTAGCTGGAGCTGAGCCCATCTGAAGCCAGGAGCTCCTCCCAGGTCTCCCACGCGGGTGCAGGGTCCCCGGGCTCTGGGCCGTCCTCCGCTGCTTTCCCAGGCCACACGCAGCTCCTCCCAGGTCTCCCACGCAGGTGCAGGGTCCCCGGGCTCTGGGCCGTCCTCTGCTTTCCCAGGCCACACGCAGGGAGCTGGCTGGGAAGTGGCCTTTGCATTGTTCACTGCTCACTCCTCTCTCTCTCCCGCAAGTCTAGCTCCCTGGTCTCTAACTGGCACTGCTCGCTCGGCTCTCGTTGGTTTGCTATTTTCTCTGTCCCCTCTCACTGGTGCAGTGCCCTGTTGTGTCACTGCTCCCTCCCTGTCTAGCCCCCTCTACTCTGAGAGCGCAGTGAGAGAAAACACAAAACAGTGTTAGGGCCCGGCGGTGTGGCCTAGCGGCTAAAGTCCTCGCCTTGGACGTGCTGGGATCCCATATAGGTGCCAGTTCTAATCCTGGCAGCTCCATTTCCCATCCAGCTCCCTGCATGTGGCCTGGGAAAGCAGTCAAAGCCTTGGGACCCTGCACCCGTGTGGGAGACCCGGAAGAGGTTCCTGGATCCTGGCTTTGGATCGGCGCAGCATTGGCCGTTGCGCTCACTTGGGGAGTGAACCATTGGACGGAAGACCTTCCTCTGTCTCTCCTCCTCTCTGTATATCTGACTTTGCAATAAATATGTAAATCTTTAAAAGTGTTTAGGCACGGAGGGAGCCAGCGAGAGGCAGAGAATAGGAGCTAGATCTGCGAGGGAAAGATGAGAGAGAGCAGGTTGCCATACCTGGGAGGGGGACAGGACAGGGAGAGAGTTGAGTGAGCATGCCAGGGAACACAGAGGAGAGCCCCCGCTCACTCTAACTCCACACCTGGGCTCTCACTCCTTCAGGAGGACCGGCCTTGGAACACTGACATCCAGAAGCCAGTTACAGAGAGCAGTGAGGGAGAGTGAGGAGGGGGGACAGAGCAGAGAACGCAGGGAGGCGCATGGGAGGTAAGATCTAATGAGAGAGCCCCTGCTTGCCATGCCAAGCAGCAGCCTAAGCCCTGGTGCCTGGCGTGTGTCCCCGCCGTACGCACTGGAAGCAGTTCCGCGCTCCGGCCGTGCCCCGCAGGTACTGGCGCAGGGCATCCATGAAGTCGCTCAGCTGCTCTGGGCACACGGCCATCTCCTGCCGGACCAGCTGCAAATGCTGCGGGGCCAGAGTGAGTGGGGCCCGGTCACTGGGGCTGGTAGAGAAAGTCCCCCTCCCCCAAAAGCTACCAGCAGCCCCAGGGCCTGGTGGAGCCCAGAGCCACCCAAGCAAGGGGTGGTCCCGGCCAACCTGGTCAGGAAAGGGGCCTCACCATGTTGGTGCCTTCGTCATCCGAGAGCCGCTGCTGCAGGTCAAACCACAGCGTCTGAAACAAGCCCAACGTGGCCCTGGTGACACGGCAGCACTCAGGGTCACCCCCAGCCTGCCAGCAAGCCCTCTGGACCCAGGGACCTGCAGTGGGAGACCAGGAAGCTGCCCGTTCAGCTCCAAGGGGCCACAGGGAGTCCAGGGCTCTGTCCTGGGTGTGACCACCTCCAGACCCCACAGGTTCTCGGCCTCGCCAGCCTGAGTGTGGGCTGTGATGCATGGTCCCCTTGCTTCCTGCCACGCAGAAAAGGGGAGCTATCGTCCTGCCCTGGGCACCAATGCTGCCTGCATCCTCCCGGTAACACCTCAGGGTGCCAAGGTCTGGGCCCATCAGAGGTGGACTGCTGCAGCTCTAGGACACCCAGGTTACTCGCTGGTTAGCAGCTAGCATGAGCCTGGTTGTTAGGGCGACCTGGGTGGTGCTAAAAATAAGCTTCAAAGCACCTCCCTGCAGAGGCGCCTGCCGCGCTGCCATGACAACCAGGCCCAGGGTCCAGCCAGCTTTTCCCACCCGGGCAGCTCACTCCTGGCTTGGTAACTACCAAACCCAGGCAGATGTAAAACAAAAAAATCCTCTCCTCAGCTGGCGGGGACCTGGCCTGTCGCCTGCACAGGGTGGGGCATGTGTGGGGGCAGCTTCCCTACCAGGCAGTGTCAGAATGGCTCCACGTTAAGTGCTACCAGTACCACTGAGATGTCACTTCATTGGGTCCCAGCTGGCTCTCCAGTCAGGGGTTTAGGCTCTGGGCTGTCCTCTTCCATCGCACAGCAGCATGGGGCTGGCCTCCATGTGCAGCCACTTCACGCCCCTGTCACCCATGGCTGCACCTGGTCCTGCCTGGGAATCTGACTGCTGGCTGCTGCCCGGCCTCTCACTTGGTACCCTGGTGCTGTTGGAGCCCCTGCACACCATAGCTCCTGCCAGTGGCTTGCTGCCCCCAGACCTGCCCCTGCAGCGGCCATGGAGCAAGCCTTAGTGCTGTATTTCAGCACCACCGCCCATCTGGGTGAGGTGTCCGAGGCTCCTGCCCCGCTGCATGCTCCCCCAGGGGACCTGGCCCAGGCTTACCTTGCTTTCCAACCTCCCGATCAATTCTGCCAGCCGGGTGACCTGGGCTTGCAGGCCCTGCTCCTTGACGTCCTGGGGGGCTAGGAAAGAGCCAGGTGCTGCTGATGTGCACCTGGCCCAGCCCACCACTCCTCAGGACCCCTGCTGGCCCAACCCCGGCCACTGCCCCCTCTCACCAGAGGGGAGGCTCCTGGCTGGGTCCGCAGCCACGAGCTTGTGGTTGGGGGCATAAGGTGGAGAGGGGCTTCGGTACCAGGTCTCTGCTGTGTCACGGCTGGACTGGCTGTGGTTCTGTCTGCAGGGGCGATGGGGAGGATGTTGGCAGCAGTGCCCAGAGCTTCTAGAACGGAGCCAGATTCAAACCCGAGCTCCAGCCCAGCCAGTACAGGGCCTTGGCCTAACCACTCGCCGCCAAGACCACTGTGCCTGCTCCCTTGGGGTGGGGTGCTGCGGGTGGGCCCTGCGCATGGCCCAGCCCCCACACCAGTTCACCTTCTCCCTGCCTATCGCCTGTTTGGTACCTTGGAAGTACCTCCACCCCCCCCCCCCCAATAAAGACAAGTCTATAAATCACCAAAAATAAAGACAATGACAGGATGACAATGCAGTAGGGCCAGGCCTGCCAACGGTGTCTCACGTGCAATGGGCCATTGGCCTCTGCAGACACGCAAGTGTAGACACACACACCCCACACAGACCCCTGCCCCTGCTGCCTCGATGTGTTCTAGAATTCATCTTGCATGAACTGAAAGGCTGAGCAAGGTTCTCGCCTGTGTGAGAATACCCAGTTCCCCACAGGAGAAGGCCAGCTGAGCCTCCACAACGCCAGTCTGCAGCTCGGTGTACACAGTGCTGGACCATGGCCGACAGGGGAGGCCCCGGGGCTGTGCATGCCACGCATATGACGTCTGTACCCACAGCTGGGGAGGCATGGGGAGCACATGCCACCCCTCTACGCAAGGCCCACACTTAGGATCCCTTCAATGCCTGCCTGAGCTGCAGGCAGGGAATCAGATGTGACACCATGCCGCAGAACTGCCTGTCCAGGCAAGACAGGGCTCCCAGCTCTGCACCAACTACAGAGGTGGTGCTCTGGGCTGTGACCCAGCATGGCATCAGCTGGCGCAGCCTCAGGGAGCAGGCATTGCAGCTGGAGTCCTAGGTGACTAGGAAGCAGGTACCCCAGCAGGCATATCTGGAGAGCACACCACTGAGCAGACAGTGCAGTGACTGCCAGGGCAGCCGGCCCAGGACCCAGCCCCTCTCCGGCAAGGGCGCAGCCGGCCCGGGACCCCAGCCCCTCCCCGGCAAGGGCGCAGCCGGCCCGGGACCCCAGCCCCTCTCCGGCGAGGGCGCAGCCGGCCCGGGACCCCAGCCCCTCCCCGGCAAGGGCGCAGCAGGCCCGGGACCCCAGCCTCCATGGGCACCGGAGGTGTGATGCTTTAGGTGCTTCCTGTCTGGCACGTGGTGCCCGTATACCTCTCCCTGCACACAGTGCCAGCATTACATGGACCGTGCACTCTTGTGCCAGGAGAACATTGTGTGTGCAGGGCTTCACTGCACAGTGTGTGCTTTCTACATCCTCAGCAGTCTTACTGGGAACTATGGGGCGAGGGGTGCAACTGCCCCAGGACACAGCCGGGCCACTAGAGGCGCAGGGAGATGCATGTAGCAGCAGCTACAGAAACGCTGCAAGGCAGGCAGGCAGGCAGGCGCCCGAGGCCCGCCCACCTCCCGCACCGGATCTGACTGGTCTGCTCCTCAATGGCCTCCACTGCGCTCTCCACGGAGCTCAGAAGCGATTGGATCTGACTGGCTGTCTCCTTCAGGAGGAAGCGGGTCACGAACTGGTCCACGTTGCTCCCGCCCTCGTACACCTGTGGAAGACAGAGGGGGCACATTGAAGACATACCTACAGCTGGCCCTCCACACACTGGGGCCAGCATCTTCCCGCAGGGCGGCGGTCCGGGGCAGACAGGCTCACCCAGGGCCCGCAAGGAGAGGACAACCACGTGGCTGAACTCCAGGTGCCCCCGGAGCTTATGCTGCCCTTCCTCTGCCTCAGCCAGTGGCCCTGATACCTGGGAACTCCGGGCAGAGCCAGGAGCACAGAGCTGTGCAGGAAAGCATACGAAGCCATGCATCACTCTGACTGGAGTGAATTAGCAGTAACTGCAGAGTGGGAGAGGCAGGGCAGAGGCTGGGGCAGGGAAGCCAGGTGAGGAAGTGACCAGACGGTGCCCTGACGGCCTGTGCGGGATGGAGGATCCTGGAAAGGGCCGAGGCTGTGGGCACAGTAACGGCAGCCTGGCATGGGACGAGCCCTGCCCTTCCTACCCAGGTGGCAGACAAGCTCACCTCACTCATCCAGACAAAAAGGCTCCCAGACACCTCATGGTTCACAAAAAGTGAACTCTGCAGCGTTGGCCACTGACCAGCTGGTGCTCCCGGAAGGGGCCCCACAAGGCCATTACACTGAGGACAGTTCTACAGAGCCGACCAAGGAGCAGGCCTAGAACCCAAATCCCAGGACAGCATGCCTGCCACCCGAAGGAGTGCAGGTTCGTGTTCCAGCTGCTCCACTCCCCCCCAGGACAGCAGCAGATGGCCAAGTGCTGGGACCCCTGCCACCATGTACGCAATTCCAGGCCCAGCCCTGTCTGCTGCGGCCGGCTGGGAGGTGTGCCAGCAGGTGGAACATTTCTCTGTGTCTGCCTTTCAAATAAGAAAGATAAGTCTTCAAGACTCCAGCCTGTGCATACAGGGGACAGGCCAACGCCTGTGCAGGCCCCAGGGGGTCACTCGGAGGCTCCTGATGGCGCTGTCTCCAAGTGGGAAGGGGTCAAGAGGAGGAACGGGGAGCCCAGCAGCCAGGCAGTGAGGTCACGGGATAGGAGCCAGCCTCAGGAATTCTCAGCTATACAGCACTCGGTAAGCAGCCCCAATCCCAATCACTCCTGTTCCCCCAGGGAACAGAAAACGCTTTGCGTTAGCCAAGTCTAGACACAGGATCCATGGGTGGCATCCTGCCGAGTGGACGACCTGTCCCGTGGGAGTGCCTGGTCCACGTTCTGACTCCCCTACTTCCGATGCAGCCTCCTGCCAAGCACTCCAGGAGACATGACGGCTCAAAGGCCGGGGCCCAAGCCAGTGTGAACTGCCTGGCCCAGCCTCAGTTGGTGCAGACCTCTGGGGAGCGAACCAGAGGAAGATCTCTGCCCATCTCCCTGCCTTTCAAACAAAATGGAAATAAGTTAAACATGTAAACGTTCATTTTTTTGAAAGGCACAGTACATGTGGGTGGGGAAAGGAGCAAATCTATTCACTGGTTCATTCCCCAGGTGGCGCGACAAAGTGCAGGCGGGGGCCAGGGACTCCACAGGAGCAGGTGGGTGACAGCACTCCACGTGAGATGCCAGTGCTGCGGAGGCTTAACCCCTAGTGCCACAGTGCCACTCCATGTGGTTTTGCGGAGTCACTACTGAACTGCAAAACTGGATTCTCACCCTGTGCTCTGGACGCTCACCAGGAACGTGCACAGAGCCGGCAGCTGAAGACCAGCAGGCGAAGGATAAGGCAAGCACAGCGGACCTGCTGGTAGCCAGGCCAGGCCACGCCATCATGGTGAGGGCACGGGCCCAGGTCCACGGGACAGCCTGGGCAGGGCAGTACCATCATGGTGAGGGCACGGGCCCAGGTCTGGGATAGCCCAGGCTGGGATCAATGGAATCCTGTCTCGTCAGCAGGCAGGCAGGCAGGACCACACCCAGGACACTGCATCCCCTGTTCCAGTACCTGGATTTGAGCCCTAAGTTGCATCCAGGTTCAGCCTCTTGCTACTGCGCACCCAGGGAGGCGGCAGGGGACAGTGGTGGGAAGGTGGGTTCCTACGCCCAGGCAGAAAAGCTGGGCTGAGCTCCTGCCTGGCCCTGACTGAGTGGGCACCTGGTCTCTGTCCCAGCAGATGAAAGTTCTTTGTCCTTCTGCCTTCCAAATCAAGATAACTACGAATGTTTTAAAGAAGAAACACCCTCAAATGTGGGGAAGCGGCCTGGTGCTTAGTATTCCTTGGAAATAAGCCTAGCGTGCCTGACCATGGACAGAGGCGATGCCAGTAACACCACAGAGTCTTTGGAAGGCTTTCGTCACATGGGAAGAGTGTTAGGATGTTTGGTTAAAACAAAGTGGAGGGCCCGATGCAGTGGCGCAAGTGGTTAAGGTCCTCGCCTTACACGCCCGGGATCCCATATGGGCGCCGGTTCTATCCCGGCAGCCCCGCTTCCCTTCCAGCTCCCTGCTTGTGGCCTGGGAAAGCAGTTGAGGACAGCCCAAAGCTTTGGGAACCTGCACCCGCGTGGGAGACCCGGAAGAGGCTCCTGGCTTCGGATTGGCATAGCATCGGCCATTGCGCTCACTTGGGGAGTGAATCATTGGACGGAAGATCTTCCTCTCTGTCTCTCCTCTCTGTATATCAGTCTTTCCAATAAAAAAATAATAAAAATAAATCTTTAAAAAAAAAAAACAAAGTGGAGAATCACTCTGCACAGAGGGACGCTGGGAACACTAGAACAGGGCAGGAGGCGGGAGGCCCCGTGCTGCAGGAGCCACTGTCGGGAGACGGGGTGACCATCTGCCTCCTTCTGTTTCCCCCTGTGTTTACCTGCCAAGCCTGCCGGGCAGGGGCAGTCGGGGGGCAGGGGCAGTCGGGGGGCAGGGGCAGTCGGGGGGGCAGGGGCAGTCGGGGGCTGGGGCAGTCACCCAGACCTTACTGGCTGAGCAGCAGCTGAAGATTCCCTCAAGCAGACCTTGGTGTACTCCAAGCTCCACACTCCACAGCTTGGATTCATTCACAATGTTCCACTTGTATCACCTCAAAGTCCACACACACCAACTGCCTGCTGCAACAGTGATGGGAGCGCCGGGCGGATCAATGCTGACCCAACGCAGTGGGAGAAATGAGCCAGACAAGTCGAGGAAGGCAGTTAACCAGGCAAGACAGGACAAATAGGACGCGAGCAGCGTGGTTAGGTAGAAATCCTTGTGAATCCAAAACGGGTAAGAAACACGGCTGGGTTACTGGTTCCACCTGGACCCCCGAGGGCCTGGTACCACAGTGACCTTAAGATGCTGTGTGAGGGCCTGGCGCGGTGGCGCAAGTGGTTAAAGGTCCTCGCCTTGCACACCCGGGATCCCATATGGGCGCCGGTTCTAATCCCGGCAGCCCCGCTTCCCTTCCAGCTCCCTGCCTGTGGCCTGGGAAAGCAGTCGAGGACAGCCCAAAGCTTTGGGACCCTGCACCCGCGTGGGAGACCCGGAAGAGGCTCCTGGCTTCGGATCGGCATAGTATCGGCCCGTTGCGCTCACTTGGGGAGTGAATCATTGGACGGAAGATCTTCCTCTCTGTCTCTCCTCTCTGTATATCCGCCTTTCCAATAAAAATAATAAAAATAAATCTTTAAAAAAAAAAAAAAGATGCTGTGTGAGATGGAGCAGTGTGAGTGTGAGATGCAGCTCACTCTCGGAAATGCATGCGGGCCTGGCCTGGGAGGTCGCACCTGTGCGCCCTTCAGCTGCCCTGCCTTGCAGAAGATCCATCTACCCGTCAGAAAGGGGAAGTGACAGAGGGAGATGAGGAGAGCTTTTCCACTTGCTGGTACATTCCATCTGGGTCCCCCAACATGGGAGGCAGGGGCCCTCGGGCCATCCCCTGCCTGGGCCATCCCCTGCTGCTCTCCCAGGCAGCTTATCCCACAGTCACCATGCCAGCCCTTTAGGAGATGGTCCTTTTAGGGATGGCTCTAAAGACAACACAACAAGAGATGAGAGAGAATCCCCAAGGCCTTTCAGCAAAGGTGCCGTCACTCCCGTTAGGGTCCCTGCGGTGAGGGGGACATCCCCAATGGCAAACTGTTGCAACTGCAGACTCAGCCATGACACAATCGAGCACTCACTTCACAGCCAGGCGGCTCACCCAGGGGACAGGGCAGGAGGGGACAACTACAACGGGAACCGTAGACATGTTAGGAAGCACTTCACAGGATCCGAACACACGTGGCTGGGGCCGGTTAACGGAGCAGGCGACTGTCCAGCCAAGGTTGTAAGACATCAGGAAACGGGACCAATCCCAAGCAAGCCGAAGCCCTGGCTGTAGGGAGCTGGAGGGTATCACCCTGCAGGACAGCCCTCCCCTGACGAGCAGCATTTCAGTTTTCTAAGAGAAACCAATAATGAACCATGCCTTGTAATCGGCACTAAATTAGCCAGATACAGTATAAATACAGCAGAAGGACCTCAACAGCAGAAAGTGGACCCCAGGGCCGGTCTGCCCGGCACCTGACCCAGAGGTAAGCACTGGCCACCCGTGATGGACAGCAAAGTTCCCCTCAGGCTTGAGCACAGGCACCGGGCACAGATCTGAGGGCAGAATCCAGGCGCAGGGCGAGGCCCTGGCAGAAATTCTGCCGTCAGTTCACAATGATGTGATAGGTACCTGCAGGCTCCCACCGCCTCCTGAGCATGGGCGGTGCTGAGGAGGATTCGTAAACAGGGAGGGGATGGGAGCTCAGAGCAGGTGCACACAGGCCCCATGCGTAGCTGACAGCACACGTGTGGCGCCAGACCACTGTGAGCAGGAGTTAGCGTGTGGGCACAGGGAGGGCACTTCAAATCAAGCTCAACAGCTGCAGTTCCACGGACAAAAGCCACTTAACATGCCCTGAAGCCAGGTGCCACGGCTGCTGCAGGGCCACTGCGGGAGCCTCCACATTGCAAGCCCGGAACACAGGTGGAAGCTGATGCTGCAGGGGGCCGTGCGGGCACCTGCCCTGCACCCTGGGGAGCCCACCGTCCACCCGACCACTCCGAGTACCCTGAACAATGGAGAGCCAGGCTCCCATGGGGAGGTGCTGGACGGAAGCAGCCAGGTGCAGGGCAGGGCCCGTCTGCAGCAGGAATGTGCATCGCTGCCACGTCTTGCTCCTGGCCCACTTGCAGGGGCCTATGGCTGTACCTCAGGGCCTATGCACCTGTACACACCCAAGCCCCTGGGAGCATGACCTCACGTGCAACCTACACCCTAGATGACACCAGCCACGTCCTTCCATCACGCACGGGAGCCAGTCTTGCGCTGGGTGCATGGCAGCTCTGAGCATCGCTTTTTGAAACATCCCAGAGCTGCTTTCTTTCTCAGGTATTTCCAGTCCTGCAGCTGCCTCCCCACGTACTCGGGTCCCTGCTCTGCCGGCTCAGCTGCTCATGTGGGCCCTCCCTCTCCCAGTACCCTCACTAAGTGGCCTGGAGCTTTGGGCCTCAGTCCAGCCCTCCTCTGGCTCCTGCCTCAATTTCTCCTCTGGCTCTCTTCAGCCAGCAGCTCCAGCGCCTTCTCCAGCCTGGCACCCTGTAGGTGGCAGGAGCTGAGAGGGTCTGGCACCTGCGTGTGCACCCTGGAGGAAACAGGGGGTGCCACCCCAGAGAGAGGGACCAAGGATTCCCAACCCGACCCTCACGGGGAGGACATCGCCCCCTGCCCTGCCCACCTGTGACATCATGAGCCCAGCCACACCCACTGACCTTCTTGGTGTAGCCCATGGCCTTCAGCACCGAGTGATTCAGCGTTTCCAAGGAGGCCAGCACATCCTCATAGTCCCCCATGTGGTCCACAAAGTAATCTGGGGACGGGGAGCAAAGGACAGGGGTCACAGGGCATCCGCCCTTCCCACGCAGCCCAGCCCATCCCCCCTGCACACAGCCAGGCACCTACCGCACAGTTCCTTGGTGTCCACATGGCTGCAGGGAGAGAAAGGGTGGGGTCAGTGTGGCCTGGCCCTGAGCAGGTGCCTGCGCAGTGCTTGTCCTCTAGTGCCCACCCCAATGCCTGCACCTCAAGGCTGCCCTGGACAAGTGAGTGTGGCAGAAGAGGACGCCCCAAGAACCCAGCAGGGGTCCCCTCCTCCCTGTCTTCCCAGCAGGAGGAGGGGCTGGGACTCGGGGTGGGGAGGGGAAAGGGGGCACAGGCCATTGGCACAGCTCCCTTGGCGCAGGCAGCAGGTTCCTGGGTGCCGGATGACTTCACACGACCCAGCCCCTCTTGCTCAGCCCCTGGCCTCCGAGGTCCCCCTTCCTCAGCCCCTGGGCGCCCCCCCCCCGCTCTCCCTTGCTCAGCCCCTGGCCCCCCAGGTTCGCCATCCTAAGCCCCTGGCCCCCCAGGTTCCCCATCCTCAGCCTCTGCCTCCAAGGTCCCCCCTCCTCGGCCCCTAGGCCTTCCACCCCGACAGCATGGGACAGGGATGCACCAGGGCTGGAGGTGGGGGTGCAGGCTTCCCCCCGATGTCTGAGAAAGCAGGGGCCAGAGCACACGAATGGACACAGGGCTCTGGCAGGTCCTGTGGATGCAGCCCCTTAGTTTAGCTCCAGTGAGTGTGCCATGTGCTGCCCTGATTCCTGTGAAATGCTCTGGGCACAGCGCCTGGTTAGTGCCCCGAAGCGGCTAGCATCCATGACTCACACTTGGCTGAACACTGGCTGGCACCAAGGTCTTCGCTCAGACCTGGTGTGAGATGCGGGCAGCCTGCGCCCCTGACAGGGCTCAACAAGCAACACTTCCGTGCCCCATCCTGCTCCCCACCCTGCCGGCTCAAGCACCAAGACAGGAACAAACCCCAGGGCAGCACCTGCACCTGCCAAGCCCTACAAGGCCCAGGGACCCTCAGAGCCCGTAGAGTCCATCGCCTGACATGGGACCCTTGCAAACAGCCTGGAGGCCGCTGCTGGTTCAGAAATCCTCTAGCCACAGGGGACCCCAGATGATCACACCTGCTCAGGCAGCCCCCCGGGAGCTCTGGTGCTCCCCACCTGAGCGGACCTACAGGCCCTGGTCCTGTCACAAAACAGGTGAGGCGGCACAGGTAGCAGAGGGTCCCCAAGGACAAGGCTCAGAGCAGCGTCGGGGCTGGAACATGCACAGAGGCCGCTTGCACTTCATCTAGCAGGAGCCCGTGGTGGGCCCCGAGGCGCAGGGGAGGGCCGAGAGTGAGTCAGAGGTTGGCTGTGGCTGCCAAGGTCAGGGCTAAGGAAGTGCCACACAGCCTGCTTTCAAACAGGGTTCTCGTCAGCCCAGGCTACGTCACAGGCAGTCAGGAAAGGGACAGAAGGGAACTCAGGGTGCACGCCCCTGGCCCACACACGCTGCCCTGCCAGGCCAGCGCGCCGGGACCCAGAGAGTCGCCTGCTCACTCACTTGGTGCTGTCGGCGTCGATGGTGTGGAACAGCGACTCCAGCTCCTGCTCGTTGAGGACGCCGTCCGCGAAGAACAGCTGGAACTCCTCCAGCGACAGCTTCCCATCATCTGTGGGCAGGAGGGCAGCCCGCGGGTGTGAGAGGGGCCGACCCAGGGAAGCCTGGTCCCAGCTGGCAGCGAGCCGGTCAACTCCATCCATCCCCCACTCAGTCAGCTCACACCCGAGCCTTGGAGCGATGCTGATCCATGCCCACAGGTGACACGGGGTTTGAGCCCTGACCCACTGCCCTGTCTGGCCACTGTCCATCACTCGACTCATCCCAAGATCCTGGCACCAGCAGCAGGTAGATCAGAATAGCACACACAGCCACATGCCAAGATGCTGGCCCCGCCTGTCCGCCAACCCACCCTAAGTCAGGGTTCCAAGAGTCTCCGGTGGCCTTGGCACCATTTGGCCTGAGCCACCTGCTTGCAGCTGTTGGGGAGCCAGCCCACAAAGGAAGGGGTGTTGGGCCAGGCTGGGCCACTGTAGGCAGTCCTGGCATGGGGTCCGGGAGGAACCGGCCTCCTGTCCTGCTCTCCACTCCCTGTGCCTCATGCTGCTGTTCCAGGCACAGCACCTGCCAGGGACACTACAGGTCACCTTAGGTCCCCACAGCAGGTGGTTCAGGCAGATCAGGACTCTAGGAGAGCCCGCGGATCGCCACCAGCACCCTGCCCAGTCCTGTCCTGTGGCCAGCGCAGCTCCTGAGGGAACCAAGGGCTCACCTGTCCCACTTTGGGGCATCTGGCTGCTAGGGGCCACAGGTTCCAGGAGAAGGGAAGAACCCACACACACAGACCCCTCCACTGCCCCCAGGGAGCAGTGGACAAGCACCCAGACAAGGACACCTGATGCCCTGGTGTGGCTCAGACAGGAGTGTGAGAGAGGGGAGGGGCCCAGCCTCAGGGCACAGGCACGTGAGAGAGTCTGTCCCCTCAGGAGGGTGCCCTTCTGCAGGGCACAGCCTGGGCAAGCACACACGGCTGACGTGTGCAGGTCAGAGCAGGGGGTCATTCTCAGACATGGCTGTGTGTCTGTCCCTGCTCCAGAGCCCTGTCCCAGCTCGACCCACATACCTTGATTAGCTGTCACTGCACCTGCCGTCCCTCTGTCCCTTAAAGCACAAAGTCCTAAGGGCCTGGAGGGAGAGACTGGGACGCATGTGTGCCTGGGGGGGGGGGTCTCACGCCACCCTGTGTGACCCCAGCTCAAATTCCAAGCTCATAGGAGGATCTACAACTTCCAAGATCGGACGATCCAAAATAACCCCACACAACCAAGACGCCAAAACCACCACGGCAAACCCACAGAACCCACCACGGAAAATCCACAGAACCCACCACGGAAAATCCACAGAACCCACCACAGCAAATCCAGAACCCACCACGGAAAATCCACAGAACCCACCACGGAAAATCCACAGAATCCATCACGGCAAATCCAGAACCCACCACGGAAAATCCACAGAACCCACCACGGAAAATCCACAGAACCCACCACAGAAAATCCACAGAACCCACCACAGCAAATCCACAGAACCCACCACGGAAAATCCACAGAACCCACCATGGAAAATCCACAGAACCCACCATGGCAAATCCACAGAACCCACCACGGAAAATCCACCACACGAATCCCACCACAGGCACAGCAAATCCACAGAACCCATCACGGCAAATCCACAGAACCCATCACGGCAAATCCACAGAACCCACCACGGAAAATCCACAGAACCCACCACGGAAAATCCACAGAACCCATCACGGCAAATCCACAGAACCCACCACAGCAAATCCACAGAACCCACCACGGAAAATCCACAGAACCCACCACGGAAAATCCACAGAACCCACCACGGCAAATCCACAGAACCCACCAGGGCAAATCCACAGAACCCACCACAGATAATCCACAGAACCCACCACGGAAAATCCACAGAACCCACCATGGAAAATCCACAGAACCCACCACGGAAAATCCACAGAACCCACCATGGCAAATCCACAGAACCCACCACGGAAAATCCACAGAACCCACCACGGAAAATCCACAGAACCCACCATGGAAAATCCACAGAACCCACCATGGAAAATCCACAGAACCCACCATGGAAAATCCACAGAACCCATCACGGCAAATCCACAGACCCCACCACAGCAAATCCACAGAACCCACCAGGGCAAATCCACAGAACCCACCATGGCAAATCCACAGAACCCACCACGGAAAATCCACAGAACCCACCACGGAAAATCCACAGAACCCACCATGGCAAATCCACAGAACCACCACGATATCGAACCCACGAAAATCCACAGAACCCACCATGGAAAATCCAGAACCACCACGGAAATCCACAGATCCATCACGGCAAATCCAGAACCACCACGGAAAATCCACAGAACCCACCACGGAAAATCCACAGAACCCACCACAGCAAATCCACAGAACCCACCACAGAAAATCCAGAACCCACCATGGAAAATCCACAGAACCCACCACGGCAAATCCACAGAACCCACCACAGCAAATCCACAGAACCCACCACGGAAAATCCACAGAACCCACCATGGAAAATCCACAGAACCCACCATGGAAAATCCACAGAACCCATCACGGCAAATCCACAGAACCCACCACGGCAAATCCACAGAACCCACCACGGCAAATCCACAGAACCCACCATGGAAAATCCACAGAACCCACCACGGAAAATCCACAGAACCCACCACGGAAAATCCACAGAACCCACCACGGAAAATCCACAGAACCCACCACGAAAAATCCACAGAACCCACCACAGCAAATCCACAGAACCCACCATGGAAAATCCACAGAACCCACCAGGGAAAATCCACAGAACCCACCACAGAAAATCCAGAATCCACCACGGAAAATCCACAGAACCCACCACAGATAATCCAGAACCCATCACGGCAAATCCAGTACCCACCATGGAAAATCCACAGAACCCACCACGGCAAATCCACAGAACCCATCACGGAAAATCCACAGAAGCCACCACGGAAAATCCACAGAACCCACCACGGAAAATCCACAGAACCCACCACGGAAAATCCACAGAAGCCAGTCATGATGGCTCAACTGGCTAATTCTCCATAGGCACCAGCATCCCATATGGGCGCCAGTTCATGTCCCAGCTGCTCCACCAGCCTTCTAGCTCCCTGGTCATGCCCTGGGAAAGCAGCATAGGATCGTCCAAAGCCTTGGGACCCTGCACCCATGTGGGAGACCCAGAAGAGACTCCTGTTCTGATTGGCTCAGCTCTGGCTGTTGTGGCAATTTGGGAAGTGAACCAGCGGATGGAAGATCTCACTTGCTCTCCTTTCTACAACTCTACCTTTCCAACAAAAATAAATAAATCTTAAGCAACAACAACAACAACAAACCAACCCAGTTGTGATATCCAAGACCTCCAGGGCGTGGCTGTGAGCTGTGTAGACAGGGTAGGGGTGGGGCTGCAGCTAGAGGCCTGGCCGCAGTGCACACAGGCTCGCTCCAAGGGTTCACTCCTGGGTCTCCCTTACACCCAGGTCCCACATGGTACTACCACTCCCATTCTACAGAGCGGTAAGCTGAGGCACACTGAGGCCAGGCACTGACCCCAGCATAAGCCATGTGGTTCCTGTACCCAATGCCACCCAGGGCCAGTTTACACCTGGGGTGCTGGCACAGCTTCCATCCCCTGCCTGTCCAGGCTCCTTAGGGTCCTCGCACCCAAGCTGCCTGTCACATGTTGACATCTGGCTGGAAGGTGAAGCCCCATCACCCACCCAGGTCTCCGTCCAATGAGACAAGTTGAGACGAGCGGCTGATGCCCTGGAGTAGCCTGTAGGTGTCCCTGCTGACGAGCGTTTGCGCAGCCTGTGGTGGCAACTCCACAAAGCCAACGACCTGCCGTGTTGGAGGAAACCACTGCCTGCCCCTGAGCCGCGGCCAGGCGGGGCCCACATCCTGGCCCTCCCTGGGGACCAGGCTCCACCCCGGCCAAGCAGGAGTGTGTCACAGCAGTCTCCACGCCAGGCTAGCCCCCGAACCCCTGTTCTTTGAGCCTGTCAGGTCAGACCCCCTCCCACTGGCAGCCTGGGTCTCCCACTCCTGTCCACCTGCAACACCATCATGTTAGACCCTTCCTGCTGGGCCAGCACTGGGGTGTGGTGGTGCCAGTTTGAGCCCAGCACCTCCAGTTCTGGTCCAGCTCCCTGCTACTGCACCTGGGAAAGCAGTGGAGGAGGACCTAGGTCCTTGGGCCCCTGCACTGCGTGGGAGACCCGGAAGGAGCTTTTAACAGGCCCAGCCCTGGTCATTGCACCAACTGTGAACCAACAGACACTACACCCTTTAACTCCTTCACATCAATAAACAAATGTTTAAAACAAACAGAAAAGCAGCTCCCACAGCCCTCCGGGCCAGCCTGAGTCAGCCCTGTCCGTGCCCCCACACAGCTCCTTCCAGCCCACGCTGCTGTGTGCTGTGCTCAGGCCCCTGCCAGCATGGCTTCTGGCGTCAGGATGAGGGGGTGGAGACACCAGAGGACAGTGGGGGACGGAGGGGGCAACCACCCCAGGAACACAGGCTCACACCTGCTTCCCCAGGGGGTGTGAGCCGGGGCACCCTCCTGTGCCCGCCCTCTGAACTCTGTGGCACCCTGGCCCCCTTCGGGCACGGATGGGCCGCTAACGGCCGGGGAACCAGGGCCTCCTTCACGCCACTGGGCCATGCGAGGGCGAGTGCCCTGACATTTGGGGCCAGCAAGAGTGGTCTCTGTCCCCCTCCCCCGGCCCGGCCCAGCCACGTGAGGGCTGTGGAACAGCTGCAAGCACTTAGCACAGACAAGGTACCTCCCCCACGAGCATGGACACAAGCCTGAGCAAGCCGCTCAGCTTAGCAAGCCGCTAAGGCAGAACCACCAGGACCCATTTCTCAAGCCAGCAAACCAAGACACACAGCTGTGCAGCATCGGGCTCGGCGACTTTCGCGCCCTGTGCTCCTGGTTCCAGGACGCGAGCCTCCCACCCTTGGGGCCAGTCCCTGCTCCTTGCCCCAGTCCCAAAGGGCGACTCACCATTTTTGTCCGCACGGCGGAAGATCTGTTAGAGGAAAGAAGTGGAGTCAGCCTGGGCCGGGCTGGGCAGGCAGGCACCTTCCAGAGGCTTCCACCTGGGTGTGGAGGTCCTGCTCTTCCAGCCAATTCCCCTGCCCCTCCTCCAGAAGCTCCCCTGGAAGGGGGCCAGGCAGCCCCGGGGCGTGGAGAGGAGGGCTCCAGGCGAGGCAGCTGCTCCCCGTGGCGCCAGCAGCCCTCGGCCACACTGGGGCCTGTGTGCCCACGCGTGCCCTCACCCCAAGCACGGCTGCAGGTGGACGGCCTCCTTCTGCCCAGGGAAATAACTACAGAGACGAGCCGGGGGGCAGCTCAGACCCCCAGTCTCAACTGGAGTAACTCCTGCTAATCCACTCCCAGCAGCACCCCAGGGGAAGCCCTGGACCAGCCTGCGGCCCGAAGCCCCGGATACAGCTCTAACACCAGCAGCCCTCCCCTTCCGGCTTCCGGGAGCGCCAAGCCACCCTGGCCAGGCACAGGTGTGGCCATTCTGCAGCCTCCAGGGAAGGCAAACGCAGACACCTGCCGCTGAGTGTTTAGACCTTGCTGCTCTTGGGGGCAGGGGGCGTCCTGAAGCACAGGGCTCCCCTGGGAGCCTGTGGGAACTGCACCCCGACCCCACGTCAGCCCTGCACCAGAGCCCTGGGCACCAGGTCACCAGCATGCTGACTTCCAAAGCACCCAGGGCAGCCCCCCCCCAATCCAGCTGGCTGCTTTTAGCAAGCGGGAAGCTGAGCCCAGGTGGGGTGGGTTCAGCAAGGCTCCCTCCTCCCCCGTGCCCCACACCCCCAGACAAGGGGGAGTTGGCCTTGACCCTGGTCAGTTGCTCTGCAGTTGGCAGCATCCCCCAGGATGCCCCAACACTGTACCCCCGCCCCCAGCAGTAGACAGAGCCGTGCTTGGCGGGCCAGGGGCGCCTGTGTGGAGTCCTGTGGAAGCGGGGATCAGGGAAAGCTGCCCTGACATCCTCCTCCTGCTTGGACCCTGTGCCCAGGCAATGCAGCGGGCAGGCAGGCCGGCTCTTCTGCCCACCCAGGCCCTCCAACACCCCTGCTCCTGCCTGCCCATGCAGGGGCCCTGACCTGGGCATTCCCGGATCCTGCTAGGACCTGAGTGTCACACACGCCAAGGCCACGGCCACAGCAGACAGCAGGCAGTCCCAGCTCCAGCCTCCATGGGGCACCCCACCCCCTCACCTTCCCCTTCCTTCCGGGCAGCTGAGGGAAGGGAGGCCCCCAGGTGGCCGGCGGGGGTGGAGGGCTCCCTGCCTGGCCACAGCCGGAGCAGTGGGGATCCCGGGGCCCAGCCCAGCACATCAGCGCTGCAGGCCTTGGGGTGGGATGGGGCGCAGCGCTGCCCAGCAGCTGCCAAGTGTGCTTGCCAGTCTGGGGCTCCCCCTGTCCTGCCCACCACCGCCTCCCTTCTACAGTTCCTGGCACTGGGACAGGGGAGACCCAGCCCACGTCCCTACTCATGGTCCCCACACGTGTTCACTCGCCCACGCAGGAAACACCCACGCCCCTCCCCACCTCCATACGCCCCTCCCTGAAACCCGCTGCCCATCCACGGGGCCCCAGCCTGCTCCTTGAAGGAGCCTGTTCGCGGAGGTGGGGGCCTCCGTGGTGGGCGTGGGGTGGGTGAAAGGCAAGTCTAGGGACCCCTGGAAGACCCCTGAGGTCCAGGGAGGGGAGGGATGGGGCGCTGAGGGCAGGCAGGTGGCAGTGTCAGGGGTTTGAGGAAAGGAGGGGAGAGCATGGGAGCTGGGGCGGGGGGCTTCACTTCCCAATGGGTGGCTGGAGGCCAGGTGTCCAGGAGGGCAGGAGGGCTGGACCTTTCTAAAGTACTGCCCGGGGCTGGGACCCGGGGCTGGGACCCGGGAAGGGCGGGACCCCAGGGGACGACCACCCCCCCGCACGGGGTCTCCGGTCCACCGTCCCGGGGGAGCCACAGCAAGGGCCCGGCAGGGACAGCGCAGGCGACGGTGCTCGAGGGTCCCCACTCTGGGAAACTGCAGGTCCCCAGGAGGAGAGGGAGGGGCCGGGGGCTCGCGGCCCGGGTCGCAGAGGGGCGCGGTGGGTCAGGGTCCTGCCCCGCTGGGAGTCGGGGGAAGGACGGGCCGGGGAGGAGGAGGGGAGCCGGGCGCGGGGCTCCGTACTCACGTCCAGGATGACGGCGGTGCCCCCGCGCAGCGCGGCGGGGCCGGGGTCCGCGGCGGGGCCGGCGGGGGCGTCGGGGACCAGCGGCGCCCGGGGCTCGCCCATCCTGGCGCCCACCCAGCGCAGCAGCCCGCCCAGCGCCCGGCCCTGCGGCGGCGGCTCCCGGAGCAGCCTGTGCGCGCCGGCCCTGCACAGGCGCGCCGCCCGCTCGCACATCGCGCCCGCCGCCGCCCGGAAGCCCGCCGACCCCCGCCCGCCGGCTGGCCGGCCGCCGCCCCCGCGCGACCCCCTCCCCGCGCGCCCCGCCCCTTTGTCCCCGCGGGCGGCGTGGGGGGGTCCGGACCCCGAGCCACGTGCCCGGCTCCGCCGCCCCCCCTCGCCAGCCGGGCGCGGCCAAGGGGGCTGCCCGCGGGGGCGGGGCCTGCTGACCACCGGAGCCCCGGCCGTGGACGGAGGGGCGTCTGCCCGTGAGCGTGGGGTTGGGTTTGGGGGGCGGGGGGCTTCGCCGGGGGCTGCCTCAAAGTCCCCCGCTGGCCCCGAAGTCCCTCCTCCCACTCGTGGCGCCGCTGCAGGGGCCGGAGCGCGGCTGACCAGCGGGCCGGGAGCGCCCTCTGCCGACGGCCACTCGGGGACCCGCGCCCACACGCTCGCTCCCTGAGCACCTGCCAGTCCCTCGAGGCTGCAGGCCTCGTCCCCAGAGTCCAGCCCTCCAGGAATGCCCCCAGCCGGGCACTCCCGGCCCTGCCCCAGCCGCTCCCCAGGCACAGTCCTCAGGCGCAGGAGTAGAGGGTTTTATTGGGGACCTGGAGTCCTCCCAGCTGGCTGCCAGGCTGGCCCCGATGTCCCTCCCCCTTGCTGGCAGCATCCACCCCCCACCACATCCCAGGTCGAGGTCCAGCCTGTGGCGTTGCTTCCACCACAGGCGCTGGTCTGTGCTGCGGCCAGCCTGGGCTCCTGCTCCTTCCCGGGTCCTGCCCAGGAGGCCCAGGAGGCCCAGGAGGCCCAGGAGGTCGGCTCGCCTCTCCGGCCCCGGGGGACGGCCCCACAGGCAGCAGGGCTGTGCTGAGCGCCCTGTCTTCAGGGCCTGGCTGCCAGGCCGGCGGTGGCGGTGGCTGCAGGGCCTGGTGCTAGGGTGGCCGGCCACTCTCCTTCTTGATCAGGGAGCTGGCAGCAGCCAGGGCCCCGCCCTGCACGAACCGCACGAAGTTGTCACCAGCCAGCGGCCCCACGGCATACAGGCCTTCCTGCTGCGTGCTCTGATAGGTGAAGGGGTCCACCTCGATGGGGTTCCTCCTGGCACTCAGCGGCTGCTCAGGGTCCATGGCCAGGGCGGCGCCGGCACCCGGCAGGAAGGAGAGGTCTGGGTGCGAGCCGATGAGCACCAGTGCCAGCGAGACAGCGAACACGGCCTGGCCGCCCTGTGGATCCTGGAGCACGGCCTGGCCGCCGGCCTTGAAGAGCAGCAGCTGGTGCTCGGGGAGGCTGCAGTAGCCAGCATAGGGGCTGGGCGCCAGCGCCGCCTGCTCCCGCATCATCTGGTGCACCTTGTGGTATTCGGGGTACAGCATTTTGGGCAGCTGGTTGAACACCAGGCCGGGGTCGTCCACTGGCCGCCGGAAGGCGTGCAGCACCGGGATGTTGTAGTGGCGGGCCAGCAGCACGGCGTCCGCTGCCGACAGCCCCGCTCCCACGATAAGCACCGGGTCCGAGCCCGGGCCCACGGTGCCAGTCCGCACGGCCGCCTCCAGGGCCGACAGCTCGTGGTGCACAAAGGGCAGGGCCTCCCCAGGGATGCCGAGTCGTGCAGGACTGTCAAAGGTGCCTGTGGCCAGCACCACATTGCGGGCACACAGGGAGAAGGGCCGCCGGCTCTGGTCCTGGGAGGTGAGGAAGCCGCTCACCTGGAAGAGGGGCTCGCTGTCTGGGAGCCCAGAGCTTCCGGGTTCAGACACGCCCCACTGCACCGCTGTCACCACGGCACCTGACACAAAGTTGCGGCTAAGCCCTTTCTTGGTCACATAGTCCTTGTAGTAGTGGGCGATGTCCCCAGCTGTGGCCCGGCTGTTGCGAAGGCCCCTGTGAGTGGCAACCGAGAAGGGCTGGTGTCAGAGGGGGTGACCAGGGCAGGAGCAGGTCCTGGGACTGCATGGCAGCTCTGCCTCCAGCGCCGAGGCCAGCTCCCCACCTGGCTGCTTGGCAGCCGAGTGACCGCTGAGAAAGCCCAGGGCTGCAGCCCCGCTGGCAGGAGTCGGGGGCGGCCTCAGGCGCAGGCCTGGATGGTCATGGTTCCAACAGAGGTAAGCCTGACACTAGAGGGGAGAGGGCCTGGCCCTTACGGGAGGTGAGGCCCACAATGGGGAGGGTGTCAGGGCTCCTGGCTGGGTGTGCCCACGCTGAGCCCGCGCCCTGCACACCTGGTGAGCTGCACACTTCTCTGGAGTGCCTTACCTGTGGGGCGTGCGTGCTGGTGCAGTGTGGCAGGCCATACCATGGAATGCCCAGGTGGCAGGGTGGGGCCTGTGCCAGGTTGCTGTCCCTGGCACCAGGGCATGGCATGTGGGCTCCTGGCTTTGCCCTGGCCCTGGCTGCTGCAGGGATGTGGCAGTGGGTCAGGGTCGCTCAGTCCCAGGGCAGCAGGGAGAGTGGCAGAGGGGACCCAGGCACAGGGAAGCTGGCAGTGGGTGGGGGGAGAACAGGGCGTGGTGTCACCCCCTCCTCATAGGCCAGGGTGCGACAGGGACCATGGTCAGGGGCTCAGGGAGGTGGCAGGTCCAGCTCTGCTCATGCATGCTCTGGCCAGTCCACCCCCACCGGAGCCTCATTCTCTTCTCTGGAGAGCGAAGGAGGCAAAGGCCCTTCGCCCAGCCCCCAGCCCCTTGCACCTAGCTCCTTATGCCCAGCCCGTCCAGCCCGCCCAGCCCGCCCAGCCCCCAGCCCCTTGCACCTAGCTCCTTGCGCCCAGCCCGCCCAGCCCGTCCAGCCCTGGCGTCCTGGCTCACCTGCGCTTCTTCTGCATCCAGTCTTTCACCTGCAGATCTGGGAGCCCCATCCACTGGCCCTGGCTCAGGGTCACCATGGAGCCCTCGATGGACTGCACACAAAAGGGCGTCATTGGCCGTGAGCTCTCCAACCCAAGTCCACCCCCTCGGGGGCCGCAGGGTGCAAAGCGGGAAGGAGCAGGCCCTGAGGTGGGTGAGGGAGGATGAGGGTGTGCAGGAGTCGGATGCGGGGAAGAACACGGAGGCCTCGGCCCCACCCCTGGCCCGCCACTCACGTGCCAGGCTCCACCTGGGAGGTTGCGGCCCAGGACTAGGTGGGGCACAGCCCGCTGCTTCTCCCGCTTCCAGGTGAGCACGGACTCCATGTTGGCCCCGATGTCGGTGTCTGGGCGCAGGAGGGCGTCGAAGAGCAGGGCCACGGGGCTCTCACAGCGGCCTTCCAGACCCTCAGACAAGTAGTCCAGGTCCTGCGGGAGGTGACGTGTGCAGGTGAGCTCTCGCCTTGGGGCTGGGGTCTCTCTAGGACCCCGGGCGAGGGGCGTGCAGCGGCCAGGAGCTGTGCGTCGGTCTTTCAAGTGGGAGGAGTGGGAGTAGATTTCCCTGTATGTTCCATGGAGGAACCGCTGCTCCCTGGCAGGTGTCCGGAAAACACTGGTGCAGGCAGCCCAGGCTCAGGCTCAGGAGAGACGGGGGCACTGCCCGGAGGGGTGCCCACAGGGAGCAAGGCAGGTGAGGGAGTGCAGGGGCTTCATGGGCCCTGGGGTGGGGCTGAGGTGTCCAGGAAGATCCTGCGCATGCACCCGGTGGCCCTGGCTAGCCCACCCCCCCACCATGAGACCACGAGAAGAGGCACGGCCCCGCCCACCTGGTCCAGGATGGAGACCCCGGGTGCTTCTGCGAGCTTCCTCTGCAGCAGTGGGTGTGGGTGCACAGCGTCCGGCCTCACGTAGGGCGTGTGGCCCGAGAGCAGGTAGGACAGGCAGATGCCCGAGGGGCCGTTGCCTGTGAAGAGAGCAAGGCTCAAACCTGGCACCAGAAGCCACGCCAGTCCAGCTGCTGTCACCCTCCTGGGCTGACAGCTGTGGCCCTGGGGGACGGCCGCCGCCTCCTCGTGCCATGAGGGGTGGAGAGGACACGTCACCCGCATGCCAGGACATCTGTCCCCATCCCTACAGACCTGGGAGGGCACCATGGGCCACAGTTGGGGTTCCTGGCGCAGGCTTAGGACAGCCCTCCTCCCTGGACCACCTCGGCACGATTCTGTTTCTGCTTCTAGAAATTTCATTTCTAGAAAGTAACATTTAGGGGACTAGTGCCATAGGATAGCCTGCACCCCCATGTGGGCACTGGTTCTAGTCCTGGCTGCTCTACTTCTGATCCGCTGCCTGCTTATGGCCTGGGAAAGCAATGGAGGATGGCTCAAGTCCTTGGGCCTCTGCCTGCTGGGCTGTGTGTACACAGGAGGACGACGTGGAAGGGAGCTGGGACAGGGCCCCAGGCACTGTGCTGTGTGATGTGTCTGTGCCACACCCCCACCCCAGGGCATTCAGCAACAGCCATGGCTCTGGCCATGCAGTAACCAAGGCGACAACTGCCAGGCGGCTGACCCAGGCCAGGGGACGCGGGGTGCGAGGGGCTCGGGGGACACTCACCGATAATGACCACTGGGAGGGGCTCGGCGCTGCTGCTTCTGAGACGGTCCTGCACAGAGGAGCTCATGGCTGCAGCTGGTGAGACTTACGACTGGCTGCTGACCTGGTGGGGGGCAGAGGAGAGACGGGGCCTGGTCAGGTCATCTCCCAGGTCCTGTGCGGCCACCCCTGGCTCCCTTGCCCCTGGGGGACTTGGGCAAACTTTGGAAGCTGGTGACTGGCTAGGACCGGACGTCACGCCAGGTTGTCCCTGCCGTCTCTGGTGTACTGGCGCCCTCTGGTGGCCACAGGCCCAAATTGCCCAGAGGGACCCAATAGACTCCCACACACCCTCGGTGGCCTGGAGCAACTTGGTGGTCCCAGGGCCCCTGAAGCAGTGTGCATGGTGCCTGCGGGATGGGTGGGCAGGGGAAGCTGGCACTTACTACGTGCTCAATGCCTATGCCCTGGCTTTTCTCATGTCTCCCTGGGGCTTGTAGGAACACAGGACCTGCTCTACCGAGTGCCTGGGCCTGGGATCCCAGACCCAGATGCAGGATTTGTCTGAGTGCTTGGATTTGGGAAAGTGAGAGTCTGACGTGCTGCCCTCCCCCCACCCACCCCGACAAAGCCTCCTAGGCCAGCTGTGCCTTCCCCACTGTGTGCAGTGGCGGGGACATGGCCCTACCGCAGACACTGCGAGTGGGTGGCCAGGGAGCCAGCCTAGCAGGGGATGCCTCCGGGCAGAGGGAGGCAGGCTGTGGGGCTCCCAGCATCTGAGCTCTCTGCCTCTCTCCCCGACAGCCTGCTAAGCCCAGTTCCTGCAGAGCCTATTGCTGTCTAGCTGGGCAGAGCTGGGGGGCCCACCTGCGATGGTGACTGTGGAAGGGGCAGTGGCCACCCACGGCTGAGAGCCCAGCACCCCGTGGGGTGGGCCAGGCACCAGGCTCGCTTCAAACACTGTGCACTGGGGCCATTCCGAGTCCCTGCTGATCACGACCATATCGCAGATGGGGACAACGGAGGCCTGGAGAGCTTCTCAGGGCCCTTTTCGTCTGGTGGGGTGTTTGCCTCAGCTTTCCTGTCTGCTCTGTGCCCCACGCCCCAGTGCAGTGGCTCCTTCCACAGGGTGCCTGGGTCTGGATAAACACACTGTGACTGTGGGAAGCTGGGGAGCAGCTGCCAGTCCCGTGTCCTGGCTGCGAGAGGACAGCCTCGTCCCCCTGCAGGAAGGGACCTTCCAGATGCTGTACAGTGAGCTCAACACCCAGGGGCCGGACAAGAGCAGTCACTTCCTGTGCACCCGGCCACTGCAGAGCCCTGAGCACTTCAGGCTGGGTCCTCCCAGGCTGGCCCTGTGGCTGCGCCGGGGGCGGCTGACCGGCTGTCACCGCCACGGGCTGAAGTCTTTGACGCAAAGACTCGTCGAGAGAAGCTGCCGCGTTAGATCTCACGGCAGCGAGTCACGAAAGGGATGGGGAACTGTGCCATCCAGGGATGCCCAGACACGTGGATTTTCTCATCCCCAGGGACAGAGGAAGGAAGAGGGGCAGCCCACTGCTGGGCGGGACAGCAAGTAACAGCGACACTAGACAGAGTGTGTGGCCCCGGGGTGGAGGGCGGGACGAGGAGGGGCCTGCGCTGGCCAGCCTGGGCCCTCCACCCTCTGCCCAGCTCTGTGAGCCCCGGAGTCCCTGCGCAGCCCATCCTCCGTCTCATCTCATCCCTGGTGGAGGTCCAGGCACCCCGGAGGAAGCAGCTACTCTGGCTGCGGGCCCAGTGGCCTTGGGACTTTGGGCAGCATGCCCAGTTGGCCACACCTCCCTTTCCTGCCTGGAGCGATGGTCACGCGCACCAGGCTGTGCTGGGGTGACGGCGGCCAGCAGCTGTGGAGACCTGGGGTGCCCGGGCACCTGGACAGGGGCAGGACTGGCCGGAAGAGGGCGAAGGAACCCCGACAAGAGAATTGTGGCGGGGCACTCCGGGGCCACGGGACTCCTGCAGGGCTCTGGGATCTGCAGACCCTCCGCTGGGTGGGATGAGCTGGGCTGGGCTGGCCACTCCTGCCCCGGGCCTGCCATCGCCTCCCACCCCCACGGCCTTGCCCAGGCCACTCACCTGCTGGGCGGGGGCGTGGAGGGACAGGCGAGCCTGGCCTAGTCGGGCCCTGCAGGGGCCAGGGAGTCGGGGCACCTGGGAGGTTGTGGGAATTTGTGAGCGCGGCCTGGGCGGGAAGAGGGTTTTTCACGGGAGGCGGCCTGAGGGCGGGCGGTGGGCGGGGCCCCGAAAATCACTTTCATAAGCGTGAGTCAGCAGGGACTGGGGTGCGTGCAGTGCCCCAGGGCCAGCCTTAAAGGGCCCCTGTGGGGCAGCTGGCCAGGGGCTGGTGGGTGGCCTCCCCGCGGGCTGCTAGCTGCCTCCTCCAGGACTTAGTCACCGGAGCCCAGTCCTTGAGGAGAACCTGGAATCCCCCGAGGGAGCCTACCCAGCTTTTCTCCAGGGGAGGTGGCAGGTGCTATGGGGTGGGGGCCCTTTAAGGTAAAGGAAACATCCCCGTTCCCTCCTTCCAGCTGAAGCTCACTTGGCACCCTGCCACTTGGGCACCAGCTTGTCCTGGCCCCAAAGCCAGCTGGGCCACAGCTTCCTGCAAGGGGTGGGGAGCGAGGCGGAGGCCGAGTGACAGGCCCCGGCCAGGTCACGGTATTGGCCATTGCTGTTGTGTGGCCGAAACCTGGAGGAGTGACAGCACCCAGCGGGTGCTCCGTCTGCACCAAGGGGGAAGGAGGGAGGCAGGGGTCCGCGTCCGCACCCATCCTGCACCCTGTTGCCTCTGGGTCACCTGCACCAGGGCCTTTAAAGGAGGCCCTCCAACACACATACTGCTCAGTGCTCAAAAAACAATATCTGATATGCTTGCTTTTTAAAATTAAGATGAATGCAAAGGAACCAAAAAGACAAAAATCTCCTAGGAAATCCAAAAGGTTAAAATCTTAAAGACCCCATGCGACGACTTGCTGAGCTGTCCCCCAGCTGAGAGGCCTGCGGGACACACCTCGGCTTGCTGGTGTCCACTCCAACGCCCAAGAATTCTGAACGCTTCATGGCACAAGGACAAGCCAGTGCCTGGACCCTTGAAGCATCTTGCGGTGGCTTCATCCTAACTCTCACCCTGGTCTTGCCCCTGGTGCCAGGGGGTTCAGGCCCTGCGTGGCTCAGGGTGGCGCGGCCCCGGGGAAGAGCAGGGGAAACAGCCCAGCCAGCATGTGCACGGGCCCACGTGAGGGTGCGTGGGCTGCTGGCTCAGGAGGGAGAACCCTGGGGCTTTAGGAGTTGTGAGGAGGGTGGAGCGGGGCCGAGGAGGGCTTCTGCTTGTGCCTCTGCTGGGGCTCAGGCCCTGCTGTGCTTGGAAGGGCCCGGGCTTGGTCTAATGTGTTGCTGTCCTCATCATTCTTGACCCTCAGGGCCCAGGAAACGAGCACTCATTTTTCTGGTTTCGTGTTCCTGGGGTCCTCGCAGCAGTGCCCATGGGGGTGATGAGTGGACGGGGAGCAGGAAGCACCCTGCTCCTGGTCTGGGTCTCTGCTCCTTGGCCAGCCTACAGCAGGTGTGTGCCGTGACCCCCAGCTGGCGGCCTCCCTGTGGCCTCGGCCACACCAGGCCTGGCGTGGGTGGTGGGAGTCACACCCCTCCCTCCTGGAGCTGGAAACAGGGAGTCAGGGGGCTAGGGGGCTTGCCCCCCCACTTCCTCGTCCCTGGGCTCCAGGTCTGAGCTTCCCAGGGATTTGGATGGGCAGAGGGCCAGGCAGGGTCAGCTCACAGGCTTGAGGACAAGGTAAGGGGGTTGGGCCTCCTGCCATGCCTGCCCACGCCGCCCGCCCATGGCCCTGACCCCGCTCTGGCTGCCGACAAGCAGAGCGGGCAGCTATGTAGACTTCCTTGGCTAAGTGGTCACCATTGACGTGACCCTCATGTTCCCGCGTGGGAAGCCCCAGCCCTCCGACAGCATGCACCCCAGGGTGCGGCGAGGCGGCACGAAGCTGACATGAACAGTCCTGGGTCATTTCCACGTGTTAGCACGCCAGGAACCAAGCTCCCAGCACACTGCATGGCACATTGCTCTCACCTCAGCTCCCCTGCGCCAAGCAACCTTGGCCTCAGCTGCTGCAACTCCCCCGCCCACCCCCTCAGGTCCATGCCAGAAGCCCCTGCGTGTTCCAGAAGGCCCGTCAGGCCAGCAGCCACACAGCTTCCTCCTTGCCTCAGTTTCCTCATCTGTACACCGGGCTGCCAGCCTGGAGTGGGTTGGACTGAGGGAAGGGGGCTGCACTGGCACTGGAGCTCAAACCAGCAGCCTCCTGTGCCTGCCTCCCCTTTCGTGGGGCTCCCCTTTCCTGGCCTCCTGGGGCACCCCTGCTGGCTGCTGTGGAACTGGAAGCCGGAGGGGAGTCCCCTCACTGGCGAGAACCCCCACTGTCCTCCCAAAGTACCTGCTGGGGGCTTCGCCCCTGTCCCCCGGAGGGGCCTGTCTCAGGCTAAGGAAGGCGACAGCCCAGCCTTGACCCAGCGTGCCCAGGAGGAGCCCAGGCCCATCTCACACACAACATAAGGACTAATATTTGCCCAGAGGGCCACACTGCTTGTGGGCCAGCTCGCCCACACCAAGCTGGCTCATCGATTCTGCCAGCAGCCCTGGGGCGGGCAGGCCATGTCAACAGCTCCTGTTTACACAAGAACTCTGGGGGCCTGGCAGGGCCTACAGCGGCAGACCCTCAGTATGGGTGTGGGCCAGGCCCTGGGACCCCAGCGGGCAGCTCTGGGATTGCCACACGGGGAGTTGAGGGGGGTCAGGAGGCTGGGGGAGGCCCCCATGCTTCCCTAGTCCTTCCCTTTCTTCTTGCAAAACTGTTAGTGTTTATTTATTTGAAGGGCAGAATTACACACAGAAAGAGGGAAAGATCTTTGTTCTCCTGGTTCACTTCCCAAATGATTGCAACAGCTAGGAGCCAGGAACTTCATCCAGGTCTCCCAGGCACTCCCCATGCACAAGCAGGGAGCTGGACAGGAAGTGGAGCAGCTGGGACTCAACGTGGCACCGGGCTGGGATGCTTTCTCTGCTATCACACCGGCCCCTCTTGGGAAGTGGTGAGGGCAGAGTGTGTGTGGAGCCCCAGAGCCCAGCCTGTGTGTGTCAGTGCTGTGCCCTGTGCAGGCTCACACACGTTAGGATTCAGGCTCCACCACTCTCGGCTGTGTGCCTTGGAGCAGGTGACTTAACCTCTCTGAGCTTTGTCAGGTAGGAGGAAGATGACTGGCGTCCAGCAGTGCCTCTCATCCCTGCTACACACTGCCACCCCGCGGGGAGATGTTAAAATACACTGTCTCCCTCGGAATGGACAACTACCCTTCCAGCCTGTCTCCCCCAGTCACCAACTCCAAAGGGAGGTGTCTTAGGGCCAGTGCTGTGAGCAGAGGGTTAAGCTGCCGCCTGAGACACTGGCAGCCCATCTGAACACTGGTTCAAGTCCCGGCTATTCAACTTCAATCCAGCTCCCTGCTGAAGTGCCTTGGAAAGCAACAGATGCAGGCCCAAGTGCTCCTGGCCTTGTTGGGGCCCAGCTGCAGCCCTCTGGGGAGTGACTGGGGGAAGGGAAGAGCTCCTCTCTCCCTGTCTCTGTAACTCTTTCAGATACATAGCTGCATCATTAAGAGGCCAGCAGGTGACCCAGCAGGGGACTTCATAGGAAGCAGTGGGCGCCAGGCCCAGCAGAGGGCTGAGCAGTCTCTCTGACTCTCATCTCACAGCGTTGGTGTTGGGCTTGCGTGGAGTGGGGCACACTGTCTACCCCATGGTCTTCCGTCTCATGTGTCTAGGCAAAGCCACGCCAAGCCCACAGTGGCGTCCCAAGGCGAGAGCCTCCAGCAGGACCGGCTGCCATCCGGTATGTGATTTCCACGGTGTCAGACCCGGCAGCAGCATGGGCAGTGGTAAGACCCCTGGGCCCATGCTGACCACCCCGTGGTTGGAGGAGCCGTGGGACTGACGCAGTAGTGGCGGGAAGAGGTGGGCACGGGGAGGAGGAGGAGGATGGACCATCAGGGCGGCTGTGGCATTGTGGTTCTCCACAATGCCAGTTCTCCAAGTGCAACCCTGCAGGCCCATGGTTCACATAGCACCTGGAAATTCAGCAGAAAAGTGTGTTCCTGGGCCACTTGTGGCGGTTCTGGGTTGGGTGCAGCCCGCTGCTTTCACTCCTTGGGGTCCCCAGTCTCCTGGTCAGCCCTGGGCAAGGCAGCACAGAGCTGCCGTCGGGCGACCCTGTGCTGGCCGCAGCAGAGCTAGCAGTCTCTGGGGCTACCCACCCCCATTGCTGCCCCATCTGCTTGGCACAGACCCCGAGGGCACTGCCAGTTCCCAGCCATCCCTCAGTTGCCACAGCGGCTCTGAGGGTGAGTGTGCATGGGGACCTGAGGTCGCTCAGCAGTCTGAGGAGGTGTGTGGACTCCAGGTTCCCTGGCCAGGCCCACAGCTGAGTGCACAGGCCCTCCCTGGGCCCATGAGCAACCGGTTCTAGTCCAAGGTCGCTGGGCAGACAGGCCCAGGCAGCTGGGGGCTGTGGCTGTTTTCCTTTAACTCTGCTCCTCAAAACAAAGCCCTGTTTGCTGCCCTTATCTGGTTTACACACTCCGGGCCCCGCCTCCTGGGCCAGGTGGGTCAACGACCTGCCCGGCTGTCTGCTGAGCCTCCACGCCTTTGCAGGGGTGAGCACTGGGCCAGAGCAGCTACGAGGCCCACGAAGACTCCCCGGGCCCCTGGGCATGTGGGAAGCAGGGGGGGTCCTGGGCCACGGAAGCTCACACACCACCAGACCCTGGCAAACAGCTAGTCACACCCTGCCCTGCCTCCTGACTGTCCCCCAGGGCTACAGCGTGGCACCCCACCTCGAGGCTCCCAGCAGGTGGTCACCTGCACCTGCTGGAGGCCCTGCACTGCTTCCCTCCCTGCACGGAGGCTGTCTGCTCTTCAGATCAGCGAGCATGCCCTTAGGAGCCTACGGACGTTCTGGGTGCTTGGCTTCCCCCAAGTGCTAGCCTCTGAGGCCCCTGCCCAGGAGAAGGGCCAGCCAAATGGCGGCGTCTAGCCTAAACCAAGTACAGGTGCAGTGGATGAGGCTGTGGCACAGCAGAGCGCATTCTAAGGTGTGGC